TTGTAAGGTAGAATTGAGGTCATGATAGTGGGGGCGGGGTGGGGAGGAAGCATTAAAGAACTAGAGGAAAGTTGTATGTTTCCTCCGTGCTGCGCTGCACCCTGGCTGAGCCATCTTGTTTGGAGAATTGCTTCAAGGAGGCCCCATAAGAAAGGCCTGAGGCCCCATAAGAAAGGCCTGGGGGTTACATGAAGAGAAATGTTGGACTAGGTACCCTTACCGCCAGGCTGATGTCACCATTTTGAGGGGTCACAGGCTGTGTGGGGTCAGCGGGAAGAGCTGAAGGTAGGCACAAGAACCAGTAGAGGGCCCTCTTCTGACCAAGCAAGATATTGATATGGATTTGAACCCCTCCTTCCCTCTACTCCTCTTCTTTCCTTCCTCCCACTTTCCCCCTCTCCCATGACATCTCACTTTGTTTTTGTTCTCATGATAAAAGTGGCAACTAACGTGGCTCCCAGGCTGAAAGACACTTTGCTGCCGGCAGCGAAAGGGTCTTGATGAGGAACCCCACCAAACCCGCAGCCCTCAAGTTGATCTGACTCACAGGACCCTCTGTAAGGTTTCTGAGCCTGTAACTCTTGTTGGGAGCAGGCGATTGTGTCCTTCTCCCACGGAGTGGCTGATAGATTTGAACCGCCAGTCTCTGGAGCAGCAGCTCAACGCTTATCCCATAGCACCACCGAAGGTGTCAGTCACACTAAAAGAGAGTGTTGGAGTGGAGACTGGCAGTTCTTAGAGTTCATGGCTAAAAAAGAGGAAAACAAAGACAAGTATAGGAATAAAGGAAAAATTAGAAACCACCATTAATCTAAACACTTAGGAATAACTGTCTAAAAAATTGTCACTGTTTTGTATTAAAAAGCAAGATTGCCCATTAAAAAATGGCAAAGATTGCCCATTAAAAAATGGCAATCGGTTCAGTAGAGGACATTAATGTTCCCTAGACATACCTCTTGTTGGCCCTGAGTAATGAGATGACATTACTTGGCATGGCTCTTTTAGCCATGACTTTGTAACTTCCACCAAATGAATGGGTGGGACCCTGCCACTAGGGTGCGTGAAATACTGGTAAGCTGATCAGTTTCGCCATTCTTCTGGGTAGTCGAGTAAACCATCTTAGAAGCAGGAAGAGGGGGCCCATGACCATCCTGAAGGAAGTGGAACGTGTGATACATCCCTGCCTGAAGTGGTCTAAGTACCAGAGGTCATGGTCTCGAGACCATAAGACAGAGAGGAGAAGCCGTATGGAGACTACAGGGTAGAGCAGCAGGCAGGCTTTCTAGCCCTGAGAGGGAGGAGCCAAGGGAGCACAGGGCAGAGACTGAGGACCAGAGAGACAAGTAAGCATGAGAAAAGTCGTGGACAGAACTGTATCCTTAACATAACCTCTTAGCTTCCTGTGGTAGTTACATAATCTGTTGTTAATTTGAGAGGATTAAAAGTGAAGGGGTGGGGTTTAGCCTGTCAATCAGGTGGCAGCTTGATGACCTCATTTGGAGGCGCTAAGGAGATAAATAGCTCTCTTGAGGTGGGACGAGACATTGCAGCTGACAAGCCACATGGAGACAGGCCGATGGCAGCCAGAGCCTCAGAGCTGGAGAAGCCCCGTGGAGACCCCTGCCAGTGCTGAGATGCTTCCACCACCACTGGATCCACATGGCTTTTCACCCACTGGCCTGGATCATCCTGCATTCAGCATCATTGCATGGATTTCATGAGTCTGAAGAGGAATTTAATACATGGGTATCGGACATATGGGTTAAAACCAGACTTATGGACTTGATCTGGACTGGGCTGGGATGTTTTCTCAATATTCAATTGCTCTTGGATATAAAGATCTTTCTTATACATATGAGTGTGTCTATGGATTTGTTTCTCTACTCTACCCAGACTAACATATTTCCCTAATAAACCCCATACTTAGGAGTATCGCCTCTGAGTTCTGTGTCCATCTGCAGCAAATGATGAAACCCAGCAGAGCAGGAGAGTGCTGTGGGAGGGACGGCTGGTCCCAGAAGAGAAGAACAGAAGGAAGAGGGAGGATGGGGGCACGCCTGACCGCTGCCTTGTGGCAACTCCTGTTGTGAAGCTGGATCCTCCCTCCCGAAAGAGGAGGTCAGATGTGGCCTCCATGCCATTTCCTGGCCTGGGGTGCATCTCTTTCCCACCTGGTCCCCCTTCTCATCTATCAACAGATCCATCATCAAGGAGAAAAACGGGGCCAGGTAACTGACATTGAAATTGCTTTTCCCCTTCTCATTCATCGTTCCATGCCAGAATTTACGGATGGGATGCCGTCTTTAACAGCCGCCCACCAATCCCCTTCCCTGTCGATGGGATGTTTGAAGTTACCTCCATTTCCTCGCCCTGACGTGGGGCTGCAGAGACCCCCCCTTGCCTACATGTCTTGGCACACACGCGTGAGTGAACGGCTGGGTCTGCACCTTGCAGGGAAAGTGCCAGGTCATCCAGTTTATATGCCCAGCAAAATCTTAGAGACATAGAGTTAATTATTGCCCCCTCGCCAGCCTGTGAAGACAGCTGTCTATCCTCACTCTATTCTTTTCTTATTTTTAAACACACAACCCATTTTCATCTTCGGTTGTATAAATGAACCCCAAATATCGGCTGTGTACATCCATAGAGGAAACCCTCATTCAATTGTAGTCCTCGTCTCTGTAACTGAGCATGGGGCTGGTCTGCTCTTTTCATTTTTTTAAAATCATTTTACTGGGGGCTCGTACAGCTCTTATCGCAATCCATCCATCCAACCATTGTGTCCATCATTGTTTTCAAAACATTTTCTTTCTACTTGAGCCCATGGTATCAGCTCCTCATTTTTTTCTTCTCCCTCATGAACCCTCAATAATACTCTATCCGTTCACCAGCATGGCGAATTTACATGCACCATCATCTTCTTTAGCTTAAAGTAACACAAACATTACTTCCCAGTTCCTTAGGTCAGAAGTCTAGCCTGGCTTAGCTGGATTCTCCCGCGACTGAATCAAGGTATTGGGAGGGCTGCCCTCCTCTCTGAACCTCAGACTCCTCTTTCTAGCTCACACAGACCATTGGAGATGTGCTGTTTTTAAGGTGATAAGAACCACTGTGTCCTCTTTGAGGGGATTTCCTTCCATTGTCTTCTTTGCTGGCTTCTATATTTGGCACATTTGAGATTGTATTCCCTCAGCTGGCTCTTTGCTCCGGGTGGGAATTTTCCATGGGGAGAGGCCCGTCCTGGGCCTGGTTTCCATCTTTCTTTGGTGTTACAGGAGGGAGCTGGGCTGGTGGGGTGTACCAAGCCTCCCTCTTGTTTTGGAATCCTTGGATACTTCCTTCTTGGCTCTCCACCTCCCTTCCTTCACCTCCCATCATTCAGACCCACCTCCATTTCTTCCAGGAGAAAGGCAGGCACCCTGGAGCCCAGCATCTGGCCCTGGTGGAAGATGGAGCCTGAGAACATGACTGGGGTGCTGGGGACAGAAGCCAGGACCCTGGGGACTTGTAGGTCAGCCGCTGCTTCAACCTCGGCAAAGGTGAGAGCCTTTTCTGTGCCCCCCCACCCCCAGCCTGATCCTCTTGCCTGACTCTACTCTCCAAGCCCCTTGGTTATCCCCTGTCCTGGACTCTGTTCTCTGGTCTGTTCTGGGTGGAGCCCAGGGGCAGTGTGTTTCAGTCTTTGTAGGAGCAGAGGATGAACCAGGCTTGAAAGGAAGATGGTAGCCAGAGCAAGGAAGACAGAAACTAAGGGGTCAGGGCAGGAAAGGTCCAGAAGTTTGTCTGTCTCCTAGACAGAGGGGCTTCCCAGGGCTGAGAGAGCCAAGTCAGGCTGGCCAGGCTCAGACAGGCTCACAGACAGGGCAGCATTTCTTCTGGTTCTAGTGCCTCTGCGTGTCTCCCAGCCCCTCTTGCACTGCCATGGGTGGCCTGTTCCTAACACCCACTATGAGGTCTCTTGTGCCCCTGTGGCAGTTACATCATCTCCTGTCAACTTGCGAAGGGGTGGAGTCTAGCCTGTCAATCAGGTCGCAGCTTGATGACCTCATTTGGAGCTGCGATGGAGATAAATAGCAGACTGGAGGCCAGATATGGATACTCTATGCTTGACATTCCTGTTGACAAGCCACACAGAGCCACGCTGATGGCAGCCAGAGCCCTGGAGCTGGAAGAGCCATGTGGAGACCCACACCAGGCCTGAGCGGATCCACACTTTCCATACACTGGCCTGAAATCTTCCTGCATTTGGCGTCACTGCAAGGCTGTGTGAGTCTAAAGAGGAATTATGGACTAGCATCAACATATGGGGTGATATCAGACTTGATCTGGATTGGGCTGGGATGTTTCCTTAATGTACAGTTGCTGTTTGATATAAAGTTCTCTCTAACATACATATGAGTGTCTATGAATTTGTTTCTCTGGTCTACCTGGACTAACACAGTTCCCAGTCAGGAGAAGCCCTCTTCCCTCTTTGGCGGCTTCACCCCCGCCCCCCTCCCTCCACCTCCACCAACCAGAGGTCTCTCCCTTCTCAGGGAGCTCCCTCCTCCCCAGGGAGGCCGTGCTAGGTCTCTGAGCTTCATCTCCCAGTCCACTGTTCTGTCACCACAGCGAGGTGCAAGCCTGAGTGACCCTTGGCCACGTCCACAAGCTCCGTCAGGAAGGCATTAGCTCCTCTTATCGTCACCAGGTTCATCACGATTCCCACACCACCCTGTTCCCGTCATACTGGCCATCGTGGTCACTTATTTTGTCCACCCAGAGCCTGCCCTGTCCTCGTGTGACACTTCTCCCACATCTGGTGGGGTAGGTTGAGTAATGGCCCCCACAAAGATGCCAACATTTAAACTCCCCGGAGCCTGTTTCTATGTAACCTTACACGGTACCAGGGACTTTATAGATGTGCTTTTGAAAAAAATATATATAAATCATTTTACTGGGGGGATCTTACAGCTTTTATCACAACCCACACATCCATTGTGTCAAGCACATTTGTACATTTGTTGCCATCATCATTTTCAAAAAATTTTCTTTCTACTTGAGCCCTTGATATCAGCTCCTCATTTCCGCCCTCCTCATCCCTCCCTCATGAACCCTTGATAATTTATCTTTTTTTTTTACCATGTGTTATACCAACCACTGCCTCCCTTCACCCACTTTTCTGTTGTCTATCCCCCTGGGAAGGGGTTATATGTAGATCATTGTGAACAGTTCCTCCTTTCTCCCCCCACATTCCTCTTACCCTCCTGGTATCTCTAGTCTCATTATGAGTCCTGAGGGGTTTATCTGTCCAGGATTTCCTGTGTTTCCAGCTCTTATCTGTACCGATGTACATGCTCTGGTCTAGCCGGATTTGTAGCTGGAAGGTAGAATTGAGATCATGATAGTGGCAGGGGTGGGGGGAAGCATTAAAGAACGAGAGGAAAGTTGAATGTTTCATTGGTGTTATTCTGCACTCTGACTGGCTCATTGTAGATGTGCTTATGCTAAGGATCTTATATGAGGAGATGATCCTAGGTCAAGGGTCAGCAACTGCGAAGGTCAGGGGTCAGCAACTGTGGCTGGAGAGTCACAAGCGGCTCCTTCGGAACGACCATGTGGCTTTGAAGTAAAATTTTTTAAAAAGGCCATTATTCAGATAATGGGGAGGGATTTCATGCATATGTCAAAATATACTTATGACTCTCGAGCCATTTTTAAACTGTTGCAAGGGACAGGATTGGCTCTTCCGTCTCAGAAGCTTGCCAACCCGGGTCCTAGATCATCTGGGTGAGCTCAGTGTCGTTATGAATGCCTGATAAGAGGAACGCACGGGATGTGTGACTTCGGAAGAAGAGACAATGGTGTGATATTGGAGGCTGAGACTGGAGTGATGGGGCCAGGAGCCAAGGAATCCTGGTGGCCTCTGGAAGTGGGAAGAGGCAAAGAAATCGATTGTCCCCCAGGAAGAACCGGTGAAGTCCCACATGATTTAGGGCCTCAAGAACCTCAAGAGGGTACATTTGTGTTTCTTTTAAGAATTAGTCTACTTTTAACAATTTCACGGAGATCCAAGTCACCCATCCCATATTCCCATTGTCTGTTCACATTCATGGAGTTGTACAACCCATAGTCCCAATCAAGTGCAGGGCGTTTCTCTTTCCTTGGGCCCACTGCTGCCAGCTCCCCATTTCCCGCCAGCCTCCCTGTCCTGTCCCTTTGAATCTATCAGGTACAGTCGCTAACATTTGGGTTTTACGTCGTTGCAGTTATTTTTAGATGCCATTCTAACTCACAAAGGCCCTAAGGGAAACAGCAGAGCACACGCGGAAACCTGTTCCAGACAACCATCTTTGCATTCAACTGCTTAAATAACGAGCCAAAGGTATCAAACCTCCCAATAGCTTGTCCTGTCCACCCTCTTTTCCCTCCCCCCTTTGTTTCTCCTTCTTGTAGACTATTATCCTCCTCATCATCCAAGTTCACCCCGTTGAGATGGCTTCTCCCTTCTCTCTCACCTCTGGTAACCATCACACTTTGTTTCTTTTGACACGAACACTTGATCTTGATTTCCCCTTTTATAACTGGTCTCATACAGTATTTGCCCTTTTCGATCCACTGACTTTACTCAGGGTGATGTCCGCCAAACCCATCCAGGGCACGAGGTGCTTCACCGTCTCATCACTGCCCTTTAATGAGGCGTGGCGGTCCATTAGGAGTCCTGGTAGCATAGTGGTTACATGTGAAGCTGCTGATTGCAAAGTCAGCAGTTCAAAACCAGTAGCCAGCTCTGAGAGGAAGAGATGAGGCTTTAGACTCCCTTAAAGAATTACAGTCTTGGAAACCCACAGGGGCAATTCTACCCTGTCCTGGAGGGTCGCTGTGAGTTGGCATCGACTCGATGGGCAGTGAGTTTGGGAGTTTTGAGCCTTTCACGGTGTGTGTGCACCCACGTTTCTAGATCCATTCTTCCGCTGATGAGCCTTTAGATTGTCCCATCTTCTTGCTCTTGATAAGCCATGCTGCAATGGACATGGGTGCACATGGGAACACCAGTCCACAGTGCACAATGCCATTGACAACAGCTGCCCAAATCAGTCGCCACCTTTGCCAACATGGAAAACACTCTGACCTCCGGAACCGACCCGAGTGTTTTCTAGAAACCCTTCCTCCCCTCTGAGAAGGGACGGAGGGCTGCTTCTCCAGCATGACGCTGTGGCTGCCGGCGCCAGCGCAATGCATGGACGCGCTTTCTTTTTACGATACCTTTTCTCACCTTGGGCAAATAGGAGCCACCCACATTTCCACTTTATCTCTTCCCTTCTGTTACTGTACCAGTCCCTGGTCTATCTTCCACTCCACCCTTTACCCACGTAGGACAAGAGAGGGGACGGCCTAGCCCTAAAACCAACACCACTCCAAACATCAACAAACACTGAAACAAACACACAAGCACCACATCTGCCGCCCTGACCACCCCTTCACATCTGCCAGGAGGAGGACCACTCCCCTTCTTCCATCACTGATTCCCCCTTTTATTCCAACCCGGCTGGGGACTCAGGAAAGAAACCTTTTGGCCCCTTCTCCTATCTAATTAGAGGGGCCCTGGCGGTGGGCTGGGTATGTGTTGGGCTGTGATCTGCATGGTTGGCCGTTCGAAACCACCAGTAGCTCCTTGGGAGAAAGACTGGACTTTTTACTGCCCTGAACAGTGACAGTCTCAGAAACCCACAGGGGGTCGCTGTGAGTCACCGTGGACTGGACGGCAGTGATTCTGCCTAAGCGGAAGCTTTGGAACATTCCCCTATTGGGGAAACTGGGAGCGGAGGTTTTCTCTTGCTCCATTTTTTTTCCTGTCTCCTCAGGGAACCCTCCTCCCTGGCGTCGGCACACAATGGTTTTCTCTGTTCTGCTCATGTGTGGGCAGTTATTGGGCACTTGGCCAAGCCCAGGTGGAGAACAAAGTCATCATGCTGGCTTTGTCCATAAGGTGACCAGATTTTAACATTGTAAAGCGGGACCAAAGCAGGACACCATTGATAAAACTCATATCCTGGGGGGAAAGCCACATGGCAGCTGAAAACCATATGCTCTGGCTTGTTATGCATTCTTTCCAAAAATCAGGGACGCAGGAAAAATTGTTAAAAACCGGGACTGTCCTGCCAAAAGCGGGGTATCTGGTCACCGTAGCTTTGTGCTGTCTGCAGAAAGTGACTTGCTGGCAATGGGCAACCAGTGCTGGCAGACACTGAGGCTGGCCTGCCCCCCTCTTCTCTGTGTGTGTCCCCTGTGGTCTTGTGGATGACCTTGGAAAGTTACTCAACTCACCGCCATGGAGTCCACGCTGGTGCACAGAGACCCTGCAGGGCAGGGTAGAACTGCCCCCGTGGGCCTCTGAGACCGTCACTCTTGATGGCCATAGAAAGCCTCCTCTTTCCCGCCCAGAGCTGCTGGTGGTTTTGCCCTGCTGACCTTGTGCTCAGCAGCCCAGGGCGTCCCCACTACGCCACCGGGCCCCTTGGCTCAACAGCTGGGCACTATGCATTTGCAAAGCAGGCAGGGTGGCCACGCACTCCCATTTCAAAATAATGCCCCCGATGCCCATATAAGATCATCTGAGAGTCTTTCTCCCATCGGTGCCTACTCAGCAACACTTTAGTTTCTTCCAAAACTTTTTCCGTCAACAATGCCAACCCAGAAACCACAATTATTTCCAGAGTGACCCCTTCTTCAACTTTCCCAAAACGGGAAAGAGGCTTTCTCCTGCAGCCACTTTACTCTTCCCCCGCTAATTCCTACTGCTTCCCCTACCTGGGGGGTGGGGCGGGTGGGGAAAGGTACCATCCTCACTCCTGCCACCCTGTCCTCTCTCCCAGTACTGGGCCCAGCCCCCTTGGCTGCAGACATCAGTCTCTGTCTTTGCCAACCCTGCAAATCACCTTCTTCTTGGGTATTTTCCCCTACTTCTTCCAAGATTTTCTAGGACTCTTTCCAGAGACGACATTGCCCAAATGACCTTCAATTCAT